AACACCATCCCACTGCCTCCAAACAGATCACTGAATATGCGCAAACGAATCTGTTAGCAGCATTCCTTCTAGATGTGGACAAGGCCCAAAGTATGCAAGAGGAGGTTTGCTAGAGTTTGAGGGAGGCAAGACCAGAGAAGTAGTATTGTAACGAAAGCTGAAAACACAGAGCACATTCACTGATACCATTCTTAGTAAATCTGCAGAAGTCTGATACCCAACTCTGCTGACCTAAGGCTCTGGCCCTACTAAACACAGCTTATTCCATGGGAAGTGGGGTGGAAATAGCTACAAAATGAACCTACTCAACATCAGCACTTCCTAAGTTCTACTCAATATTCTTTTAGGGGATAAACAAAAAAAAAAGCTTTGAGGTCAATATCTTCCTGAAAAATTGCACTGGGGAAGAAAAAAAAAAAATAGAACTTAGGGCAGGGCGAACCAAACAGTTATTCAGTACTTCCAGCACAAATCAAGCAACAATAGCTGAAGGTTTTGTTACACACCTCTGGGTACATACCCTTCACATCTCCCTTAAAGGAAACTTCTTCCTCACTCTTTCACATGGAAAGTGAAATACAAGTTATACATGCTGGATCCATAATCCCTTTCTTCTCCCCAGCACTGAAGCCTCAAATTCCACTGTAGATCATGTCATGACAAGTCTAGCTGTGCCAAGAGAAACCAGGCCTAAGGAAGCATCTAGTCAAACATCACAAATGTGTATTATACCAATTATACCAAGTCTGTTCCTTTAAAAGATCATTACATCTTATGCTTTCCTGATAGCACTCCTTTGCTGGTAGAGGTCACCAACTTTACTGAAACAGTCAGGTTCCTCTTCTACTTGGAATATGCAAAGCATAACACTGGAGGGGAGCATTACCTTTCAGACAGACAAAGAAAAAGGGAAAAGGAAAATTAAGAGAACAACCCAGAAGACGTCATCCCAACTACACTTCAGAGACCACCTACCTTCAGAAAGCAAACTCAAAACATAGAAGTCACCATAGTGCACCACAAGCACTAGCGGAGATCCCGAGAACAGATTCCCTTGTTTTGCTAGTGGGTTTCCCCTTTAGATTGCTTCAATACCACCTTTGATCCCTGATCTTACCTCCCAGTTCTCTGCTACAAATTGCTTCCACTCTTAAGCAGTGTGGGTTTTTTTTCTTAGGAATAAAAAACAGCTTCCACTCCCAAAGGTTAAAGCATTCCCCCACCCCCGCACAGCTAAAGTTTTGTTCCAGCTTTAAACCAAAGCATTACACGGTGTGAGGCAATAAAAGGGTCTATCCCAGCACTTAACTTGCAGTGTTAAATGGAAGGCAAAAAAGCTAAATAAGAAGCCAGAATCCAGTAGTTCCAGGTTCCTTGCCACTCACCAACTGAATTTGCAAATCCAGGGTATGGGAAAAATCCAAATTGCTAAAGCTAAAGACCACTAGTGCCATCTGGAGGCCATACAGAACAGCCCACCTGAAGTCTTCTGTCAACCTGTGCTCACGCTTGAGTGTTGTCCTCCGAAGACAGCTTGCCAGCATTTGCTGCACAAACATACCAACTCTATGGTATAGACCAAGCCATAGAAGAAGGGAAAAGTTTAAGAGTAATTAAAGATACTGGTTGCAGTAAGTTTATACCTACCATGTGAAAGCTACAAGTCTTGCTACAAGCCTTTACTATAGCTGACGCTACAGCTGAAATTGCTCAGTGGGCAGTTGAAGTTCAGTAACTGGAGTTACTCTCCAGAGTCAGGACTGTCCTTGGACCAGGTATAACATCTCATTATTCCCTCTACCCCAGTCCCACAGTTGTACTGGTACAGCTAACCATATCACAGAGCAGCATTAAGATACCTAGTGCCACAGTTAGTCTCCATATACTAGCTACCTCTCACAGAGAGCTGTAAGAGGGGATGCAATTTGAAGGAAAAATTAACTACCATTAGTAATACTGTGGTGTTCTGTACATATATGTTCCACTTGTCATGTATGTGGACACCATGTGCTCTAGATTTGATTATAGTTTAAGCAAATGGACTCTAAACATGTATAAGACTGCTAAGATTTTAGAACACTGAAAAGCGATTAGCAAATATTACTGCCACATGGGATCTTACCAAGATAGAGAGTCCAGAATTGTTGAGATTGATGCTCCTGGATGAATACCCAGAAAGAAAACTTAAGTTATTTACTCAGGGTTGACTACAACACTGTTTCAAGCTCTAGAGGTGACTATTCTGAATGTCAAAAGAACAAAGAAATTCAGTCAGCCAGCATCCAGGTTATCAAGTAGGGACATTGGCTCACATACTCAAAGAAATCGGATCATTGTTTCAAGAGACCTTTTACCTAGGATAGCCCAGGTGATCTTGCTACCAATAGGAGCTCCTGGATTCTTATCTTCCAGGAAGGTATTTCCAGGCACGTGAAGGATAAAACGATTATTGGGAAGAGCAAGCACAAATTTTCCGAGAGGAAATCACGTCTGATGCCTCCTGATTGCCTTCTAGGATGACATGAATGGTCCTGGGGACAAAGGGAGAGCTGTGGATGGCATGTCTCAAGACCTGAGCACTCAAATGGCCCCTGTAAAGCTAGAGGAATGGGCTAACAGAACCCTCATGAACTTTAGCAAAAGCAAATGCAAAAGTCTTGCACCTGGGAGGAATAAGCCTATTCAACAATACAAGCTGTGTAGATAGAAAGCAGCTCTGCAGAACAGACAAGCAGTCCTGGTGGACAACCAGCTGAATTAGCAGTTTGCCTTTGCAACAATGAAGGCTAGCTACATGCTGGGCTGTATCAATAAGAGCGTAGCCAGTAGGTTGACAGAAGTGATTAGTACCTCTTACTTGTGAGTACTTAGCAAGCACTGGACACACATCTGGAACATTGTGTCCAGTTATGAGCCCCCCCAGTACAAGTAAAAGTATTGACTAAGTGGTGCAAGTCTGGCAGAGAATAGCAAAAAGGGGTGAAAAACATGATCTACAAGGAGAAGCTGAGGAGAAAAGGATTGTTTAGCCTGCAGATAAGAAGGCTAAGAATAGATCTAACTGCTGTGTTCAACTCCTTAATGCATGGCTATAAAGGCAGAGCCAGACTTTTCTCAAAGGTGCACAGCAGAAGGACAAGAGGCAACAGTCGAACTGCAACAAGGGAAATTCTGATTAGATATAAAAACCACACACACATTCACAGTAAGAATGGTCAAACGTTGGAACAGGTTGTCAGGAAAGACTACGGAATCTCCACTCTTGGAAGATATTCAAAACTTTATGGTATAAGGCCGTAGAGCACCTGCCCAAACTTTGAAGATCTTACCTTGAGAAGGAGATTGGACTAAAAACCTCCAGACTTCCCTTCCCACCTAAATAATTTGATGATTCTATCTTAAGGGATTCACTAGAACTGTCTGATCAGTGTATTTCAGTCAAAAGATATACTTGTTTCCTTCCTCATTTCCTTCCCTAGACCTCTAATACGACTGAATTGTTAAAAGAAAAAAAAAAAGCATACACATCCCCACATACACTTCCCCCCAAGCAAAACATGTTACTCTACTGTCAGAGACAAAAATGCTATCTATCATGGAATTGGCGCACTTGCCCCCAAACAGAGTAGAACACTTGTCTCTTACACATACGGATTTTTCGAGAAGTAAACTCCTTTGTTACAACAAGATCAGCAGAATTATCTTTAGGACATTAATGATGGTGCAAGTCCTATTTTGGAGGCCTGCTATACACTGCCCATTTTCAGAACATCCTAGCAATCTACTCATATATTCACAATCGATGATCTTGTTTCCCTCTTCACTTTCCAATAACATGCAATATTACCCACTAACAATTTAATTTCTGATTCCCAAGAGAAAAGTCTTGCATGCCAGGCATGTTCAAGGCTCCTTTTCTAAAGTGAATATAGTTGTCAAGTTTTCCACTAACCAAGATGAGCTACCGGTTCCCGCCCCGCTTTAGGGAAACAATTTATCCACATTATCTTTGCAGGCAGAGGCACATCACAACACACCTGAAGGGTATCTGTTCATCAATTTAAAGGAGGATATTTCTTGTGGGATCATTATTGATATATCTTTTGGATTCAGTATCTGCTTTGGAAAAAGATAAGTTGGATTCAGTATCTGCCTGAGTCAGAGCTATGCAGGCTTGAACCCTAGAGACACTCTAGGGTCAGATGCTTATAAGACAGATTCACCATTGCTTAAAACTGTTGCAGAAGACAGTCCTATGATGCTCTCTTCTCAAACACCACTGCAGTTAAGTTTCTGGTCTGTTGGAAATTCAGAGGGGTGATTATTTCAAATTTATTGCTATAGACAGGTATTTAGCTAAACTTCTGTGACGAAGAGAAACAGGTATTTTTGGTAGATAAGTGTTCGTCCTGGGAATCTTAAGTATCTTTCATGACTTACATGCAAAAGAAAATTGACATCCTGCAGGGTGAGAACAGTGAACTAGTCTAAACCCACTTACTTGATACTGTAGAAAATACAAACACTGACCTAAAATTTAGAGGAGCAGTTAAAAGTATTAAAACAAAGGCCAATACAGCCAACAACATGTCTCCAACTGCTTTTGTCTTTAGGACTAAACAGAAATTGAGAAAGTTTAGACTCCCTTCACCTTGGAGGATGGAGAAGGGGCACAAAGGCACAAGAGTCCAAAAAGGTTTCAAGAAGAACCCGACCTTGAGAATGAACACGCCTATGATGGTGTGTGTGGCCATTCAACCCTTAAGAGTTGAAAACTTGCTTTATTTATTACGTAATAAAGTCCCTCACTAAAGATCCTGTAATCTATACAAAGAAAACTGATGGGACACAGCATGATGAAGTACCATATTTTTAAACTCTGCAGAACCCCCTAACTGGCACTTCCCTCATTTGCTGTTGCCTCAGGAGTACAGAGGCAAGCCAAGACATCTCTGGATCACCAAGTGCAGGTACACTGAGAAAGAAGAAACCTCCCCTACCTGGCCAATCCTTCCTCGTAGAGATAGATGACAAGCGGATCATAGGACGTAACCAGAACATAGAGGCGCACATCGAATTTGAAATCTGAAATACAGTTGTCAAGAGTCAGTGACTGCAAATACCTTTCAGACACCATATCATGTTGAGGAATTTCAACAGACCCTGAGAGCAATAAACCATTATCTGCTGCTGACACAGGTGCCTGAAACTTTCCCAGCTTCCAGATTTTAGGGAATTCTCTAGTTATATTTTTCCAGTACTAGAGGAAGATAGACTTATTCAACTACATTCCTGTAAAGGTTGCAGAGATCCTCAGGTGTGGGGTTCGGGGAAGAGCAAAAAGCAATTCCTAAGCACACTCACCATCTATGAGCAGGGGGTTGCTGATGTAACGAGAAACCAGGATGTTGTCTTCCAGGACAATCTGGTTTGGCTACAGAAGAACAGAGAATCCAAGAATGAAAAAACAGGAGGCTTAAGGAATAAGAAGGTGACTAGATCAAACCCACCATTTTTTCCAGCCTTTCCCTCCTAAATCCATTCTGTACCAACAACTATGTCTGGGGAGGGAGGAAACAAAAACAAAATGAAAAAACACCACTGTCAGTCACAACATGTTTAAGGTAAGTAGATCCTAACCAGAAGGCTGGGAATGATTACATTGCCAAAAAACCTGCCCATTGAATCTTCCAGTTAAGTGGATTTAACGGCCACATGGCAATGATGTAAAATAGGCAGGAAAAAAACACATCTAAGAAGTGACTGTCATTCCTTTTGCTTCTCAAGCGTTTAACCAAACACATGAAGGAGGGGTTTAGAAGACACTGGAAGGAGTACGTAACTACAGTTAGTGAGGAAGTCACAAGTGAAGAAAATGACTCTTCAATTTGTCATCTTTACAGCTAGATACTGTATCTAGGTTGTATTCAACCTTTTTGTCTACATGAGTAAATACCTTGTACAGAAGTTCAGTTCACAGCAGGGGCTACTGTACCAGGAAGACGCTACCCTTGCAGCTCAGAACAGAAAGCTCTATCTATGATAAGTATACATCACAAAGTCATGGGATCTGTTGAAAAAGTTTTTACTTTTTGCTATATGCAAGTCTCTGTCTTGTAACCAGTTTTAACTACTCATACAAACAGTTTCTTGCAAAACATTTTCTTGCCTTCAGTTTGCAAAAGAGCCAAGAGATCCCCATCATCCTGCCTTTATTCAATTTGCATGTATTCAGCCACATCACCAGCATCATGAGCAGGAAGCCTAGGCATATAGAGTGCACATATACAACATGAGGGAACAAGCTTAACTTCCCTCAGCACATCACACAGAAGTGACAGCCTGTTTTATTATGGATCAGAGAAATTCAAAGGTTTGTTGTTTTGTTGGGGTTTTTTGTTGTTGTTTTTAAACACTTCTGTGATGAGATTCTAGAAGACACTCCCTTAATGGCATCACACTGAAGGAAACTGAAGTCTTTGGGTCAAACTAGCTGAAGCGTTTCTGGAACAGATATACACAAAGGGAGATTGGTATCTTTTCCCCAGTTCATGGCCAACTGTCATATAAGCCTGAGCTCGTTCCTCTCTTTCAAGCAAAGAAAAAGCTGAGGGCAGCTCTGGAAATACTTACCTCACACACTTGGCGAAGTGCTCCCTTATTTTATGGGAAATGATCCAAGTAGAGAACAGATGAGGCAGCATGACCCCTTCAGTGCAGGGGAGGCTAAAGGGTTTTGAGTGAGTGAAAACAAAATGACTCACCAGTCAGTTTTGCTACTGAGAATATTTATTGGAATCCCCTCATGTGTTTGGCTCCTGCCCAGATGTATTTGTTACCTATGACAATCTGACTCCCTGCAAAGCCCAAAAAGGGCAAAAGACACTATAACCTGCACATTGAATTCAAAGAACCATCCCCACTACACCTCTGGCATTTAGATAACACAGCTCTAAGATTGACATACATCCTACTGTATCACATAAGGTTTCTTTTTAACTGGTCTTTTCCAGGGGGAAGAGGGAGACAAGGGGACTGTTTGAGGACTGTTTAGGTCACACAGGGAAACAACTAAGGAGAGTTCTGGGAATCTTCCCAAGGCCAGCCTACTGTCAGCCACAAGGAGAGAATGAAGCAGCACAGCTTCCCAAACTGTCTCAGGGAGCATGAACTTGTTCCTAATAAGCTAAGACTCGAAAGTAGGTTGCAAGATAAGCACAGCATACAAAGAAATAGATTGCTGTTGGTTATGCAGCATAGGCCTGGGCAGGCCTGTTGAACTGCTCACCAATGTATGGTCGAAATCCAGAGCAGGGCCAGTGTCTGGTTAGATGTTTCCATGCCCCTTGCCTGGAAGCTGGCATAGTTTTGCAGACAGTGCTACTGAAGAGCAGTCCTTTTGCTGAACACTTACATTGTTTATCAGGTAGACACCTCGACCCCTGGAAGAGGCCACAGGCTTCACTATCCATGGGCCTCTGTCCTTAGAATAGGTATCTGGTTAAAAGAAAACAGCACAAGTCTGAAACATCTTCCATTTTTCTTATTTACAGGGGAGCAAGAATCAAGAATGTTGCCTACAGTAAAAGCTTTAGAGAACTCCATGAGGAGATTAAAGTCTACTTTTTTGATGTCCTATTTTACCCCTTGGGGCTCACTGCAATTATTATGGCCCCTCCCTGAAGCCCCTCCTGCTGCTCCGATAGATTAATTTCTCTGCCCCGTGCCTCTTTTTGGCACTTCTCTCTTCAGTACTCCCAGGTATTAGTCAGGGATATTATGGATATTATGAAGTTGATCATCAACAACACTGTGCACAAAAAAAAAAGCTCAATTCTGGAGCTTTAAGCCCACCTCAGCTTCTTCAGGCCTTATGCAGGCAAGGAGTAAACAGCAGAGTACAAATTATATAAAGAAATCATGTGGGCCTTTTCCACTGTCTTTCCAGCTTCCTCTAATTTTGTTGCCTTAACCACTGGCATGATCAACAGGCTGGGACATTAAAAGTAATTCCCTTCCCCCCACCCAGTTATTTTGCTTTAGGTCTGGGCATCATCAGCCATTCACTTACTGCAGAAGTCCTGGTACTCTGTCGGGAGGATAAAGGTCTGAGGTAAGATATGGAATGTCTTGAATCCATGGGCCAGCTGCATACGACTGACGTTCTTGTATAGTCTGTCCTTTCGTGTCAGTTCATATGACCTGAAGTCCCAAAACAAGAGACTATATTTTTTCCACAGATTAAAAAAACCCACATTACAGCAACCATTCGTCCTAGTTACTAAAGCATCTGTAGCCCTGTCTGATATCTAAACCCTAACCTGCAACTACTCTTCAGTTTTACTGTCTCTGTCTTTTGGCCATATTAATATCCATCCTCATTTGTAGCACCTCTTGCAATTCCCAAGACAGACGGAAGCACAAACTGTTATAATAGTGTTTGTAAACTTTAGTCTGTAACTAAGAACCCAAAGCCCTAAATACTTTACTTTTACCACCAAATAAAGAAAACAAAAATTTTTTAAATTCAGTATTTGGGCAACAGACAAGCACTTCAACTCACATACTATCTCCCCAAAAACCCGAAGACTCTTTAGAATGAAGACAGCATGTGGCACAGGCCCAGTGCATTGGGACTTTACAGTATCATGTATACTCTATTTTTTTTAGAGCCATCTATGCTCAGATTTTTGCGAACCATCACAAAGATGTTCAGCAAAACATGATATCAAGGCCTTACCTAGGGAAATGATTGACTTTCTGAATATCAGTAAGAGAACGCAGCAAGTAGGGCTTCAAGTGTGATCCTGTCCACATGAGATTATAATCACTGCTATTAGGGTGCACCTAAAAAGCAACATAAAAACACCATACACATAAAAACATAGAACTAATGAAAAGCACCACCACTTGTTCTACAGACTATGACCTTATGTCTATGAGGCCAAAGCAATTCTAGTTCAAGACAATCTCCTCTACCCACCTCTAATATTAGGGCAACTCCAGCCAGATTCCTGTCCTAAGCTACTGTACAGTGGTGCTGGGAAATAACCATGTCATATTTTTCTAAAGAAACTTGTGCTTTTGTGCTTTTTATAGACTGTTTAAACTCAATTTGTAAAGTGGTTTAGATTTCGTCAGGAAACTTATGAGACCAATTCCTTAACTTGGTGTTATTCAGAAGGAAATCCACCATACACAAACATCTCTCAAACTGTCATTAGCTGCATACAGGACATTCTTTAGAGCAAGACAGGTGCTAAAAGAGAAACGTGAAACTGCATCAATGCTTCTGTGAGCTTGCAAAGGCTGAGAGATTAAATCCTTCAGATCTTCCCAAGGGTGTGAGATGACACTTTAAAAGCAAGAAGAGAAAAAACACATGACCCAGCATCCTTTTTTCCCTAATTTTGCAGGCTTAAGGCTAAAGGGAGAGAGAGCAAAATCACAACATCTTTCCTGTCTGACTGGCAGAGTATGTAAAAAAAAACCCCACAGCTCAAGGGGGTCCACAGCATGTTCCTCGTTCTAACCCTGCAGAGTAAAAAAAAAAACCAACCAACTCCCCCCCCGCCAAAAAAAACCCCACAAAACACAAAAAACCCCAAAAACATAATAATCAGCAGCAGCAGCACCTCCCAGCCTAGCACATAATCAGATCTGAAGTTCGTTGCACTCACCTCGTGGAATCCATGGGCAGTCAGAATGCTTCGAACGAGACGGCTGTCTGTTCGCACAATCTTATAGGACAAGTGGTAGCGCTCTGTTAAGAGGGCAAGAGACACGATATTAGAGTCTGCATCTAGAATAATAAAACAAAGTTACCTATGCTACCAAAGAAGATAGAAGAGCACCATAGGACTCAGCACAGTACAGCTGCACTTAATGCACAGTGGAGCATCCACACAGTAGCAGCACATAACAGACAAAGGGTAATAGGAAATGCCTGTCCATCTCTTGGGGCATTAACTCCAATGAAGGCATTGAACCAATTTACATCAATCCTTGTGTATAATATTGCTGCATCACTGAACCCTATCGTACCAAAATAAAACACAGGACATCCTAACAAATGCCCAGATTTTTTTTTTTTTTTTTAAAACAGCTCTTTATATAGACTGCTTTATAACACTCCAAACATGATTTCAGCTCTTTCTTCTCTATTCAAGATTGGTATTCCTAGGTAAAAGTAATCATGTCATATGCCCCTCACTGACATGGTTAGCTTATATGATCACTTCTTAGATCCTGAAAACCCAAAATAAAACACTGAATTTTCATTCACATCTCATTCACCTGTACTGATCTTCCAATAAGTAACTGCAAAAAAATAATAGGAAATAAAGTAAAGAGGACAAGGAAAGAAAAAGAGAAAATCACTATCCAAGTAGGAAGTCACAAAAACAAAAGCAGTAAGCAGCACTGGAGAGATAAGATAAACAGAAAGCAAGTAGCAAGACTAGAGGCCAGTTGTCATACAAAAGGATGTGGCAATCCATAAAGAGTTCAAAGAAAGTAGAGGCAGAAATTGCAACGCTAGAATACAGAATCACTTGGAAAAGGCACTTTACAAATGGGTTCAAACTGATAATAGAAAGATGAAGATTAGATTAAACCTCAGGAAATATGTTCTACCAATAAAAAATAAGTCTAAAGAAAAGAGTAAGAATTATCATGATCTGGGATCATAAGGATCATAATCTGCATAATAGTTGCACTATTCAGCAGCAGACTTGTTAAACCACGAAAAGCCTCTCCTCCTGAGAAAAAGCAGAAGAGACACCACACTCCAGTCAGGATGCAAGTCACAATTACCATCAGCTTCTGCCACCATTCAAGTATGTTTTTAACTCACATGAAAAGGATCAGGAGTTCCCCCACACAAATCACCTTCTCCACCCCTTACCCCAATGAGCCAGAAGCATTTCTGCTTGGATAGGATATTAGAAATGAGGGCACCAATTACCTAAGAAAGGGAGAAGCAAGAGAAGAAAGAAGTGTCAGCATCTTCACAAAAAGAAGCTGAGTAGATTTTAGCTTTTCTCCAACTCAGCACATCCAGAAGAGCTCCCAGCTGTACACACCCACAAGGACTAACTCTTGCAATCCAGAGTGACTGTTTGTAACAACTCTGCCTCTTATTTAGAGGCTCTCCCTTATTTGACACTAGACAGGTTTGGTCTCCCAACTCAAGTGCTGCCAGAGCAGCAATCATTTTGCTTCTGGCCTTAAAGTTATGAGGCTGTAGATGCAGAGACTTGTTACTACAGCTTACTACTGTTCTTACCACTGTGGGGCTGGCTACTTTATTTGCCAGTGAAACCCTCTCAAAACTCACTGCAATGATTGATTTTAAGTTCTTAGTTACACAGTAGTATATTCTGGTTGTAAGTTCTAGCATGGCCTCCAAGCTCGATTTGCAAGCAGAGTTCCAACTCAAAACACATCAGGACCCAATGGAGGGACAAATATAGACACTTGTCACAACCCAAAGATGTGATAAACATTCACCAACTGATGAAGCATTTCTGAACATCTCAGTGGTCAGAGACAAGAGAGGATTGTAATTTCCGTTCTACCATGTCCTCTTCCCCACCACAAAGAGAAGGGAACATCCAGGTAAGAGACTTCCACCTCATGCCTTCAGGGCAAAAGCTGGCACATAGTTGCACCCACCTCCAATTAGCCGGAGGTAGCTGTCGTTGGTCAGAATGGCTTCAGCATGAAACACCAAGATGGGGATCCGCCTGCAGCCACCACCAGTCCACTTGATACATGGATGATCCCTGAAATGGCAAGATAATCAGTATAAGCAACTGCTGAGCCTCATACACACAGCACACACTTACAATGAGGACACAGCAATTCTCCATACTTGCCCATGCTTGCCCACCTAGCCTGTGGGCAGGACACAGGCAAACACACTGCAGAAAAATAACGGAAGATTGGCGAGGAGGACTGTAACACGCTCGAATGACTTGCAGCTGGGGTATAGAAAAATACATATATCATTCTAACTGTTGTCTATCCTTGTGTGTTTGACAAGTAGAACACCTGTGTTCAGGTAACATAGGCCTGTGATAGACTTACAGGCAGCCTATCGAACATGCTTGAGATTCCTGCCCTGCTGTGGGAAAGATCAAGGCGCAGTGGTAAATTACGCCTGTGCGAATCCCTGAAACACGGGTGCAAACAGCAGGTTCAGCGATCTTCTAGCAAGGACCGAGCTCCGCAGTGCCTGCATCCCCGCTTGTGTGCCTCTGCCTGGGTGCTGCTTCAGGGATCCCCTGGTTGGTGAGGTAATGAAAATAAATTTACTCTTTGCATTTCAGCCGTGGTTTTGTGGTTGTTCCTGCACCCTGCCTGTGCTGACTCACACACACATGCTAGGCACCCTTGGTACTCAGCTATAAAAGGAATCTTCCAGATCATCCTCTTTTTGGGCTGGTCTTGCCAGGCTAAGTCGGAGTTCTGTTTAATTTGTATTTATTTTACTGAGTATAATTTGGGAGAAACCCCATGAGTTTTCAGAGCTACAGTTTTCTGGATTTATAGCCTGAAAACAGGATCTATAATTCAGGATAAACCATAATTGCTGGTATCCACACAACCAGACCTTACAATGCAGATTCCAGTCTCCAATTTAAGAACTGCAAATCAGTGCACACTGCCTGGTCGTCATCCTGGACTTTGAAGTGCACAAAAAGGCACTCATGCAGAGCTTGAGAGACTAGAACAGGCTTTGCTCAACACAACAGATAACTTGTGTGTTCTTCCTTTTCAATTTCTGCCAGATGCAGTGGAATGCAAGCCCAGAATTCAACAATGATGCCCCCAGCCAGCCACTCAAGCTACAGGTTCAGAAATACAGTGGTCAGTTCTGTCCAAAACAACAAGACTACATTGGGAACTATCATCTCCTCAGAGGAACTAAGGACACACACAAAAAAAAATTAAGATCTGGGATATAAAATCCTAAGATCACAGAAAGAAAACCTGTTAACCTCCCTAAGCAAATAAAACTCAGACTGCTTATTAGTCACTGTGCAAGGAAAAGGAACCATGAAAAAGTTAGAAGTTAGAAAGAAAACAGAGACTGAGGGGTTGGAGAGACACATCTCTATCTACACAGACAAGAAGAAATATAAAGACTGGCAGAGACACACAGAAGCATTTGTCTATAGAATGTGCAACATCATTGTCTGCCAAAGGTTTGGAGAAACTGCAGAAGTCAAAACACTTCCTACACTTAGAACACAGGAACAGAGATAAAAGGGCAACTTTCTGATGCCAGGACAAGTACTTTTAAGTGTAACCTTGGTCCTCTTAACCAAGTTATTACCATTATCACCCAGACAAATTAACTTCACAGTACTCCCATTTGCTTCCACCACCAAAAAAAATTTAAAAAAAAAAAAAAAATCAACTACTGGGGTATAATTAGCTGTTCAGACTGGAAGGGACCTGAGAAGCTTCCAGGATTTACACGACAGGCCAGAGCCTTATGTAAGTGGGAAATGAGCTGAAGCAACAGGAGGGGAGTTTATGTTAAGCCTGTCCTGAGGATTTGCAGTAAGGCTCAATCCTCCAGGTGACAGTCATTCATTCCTAGCATGACCCTTGGTTACTTGATGCAGACACACTGTTAAAATTACGTTCTAGGTGAAGGCAGTTCTGGACCTTTCCATCCATGAGGGTCTGGCAAGTCTGAGCCAACTGCTTGGTATGAAGCAACATTCCTCTAAATGCCTTAAGTCACTGCAGTTTGCAACTGAGCACTCAGTCACAATATCCACCCAAAAGAAAACAAACAGGACATATTAAAGTAGGTCCAGCTGAAACAGAAAAGGGAAAGAATAAAGGAGTGACTCCTTTATAAGCAAAGATAAAAGAAGTTTCTAAACAAAGATGAAACAAACATACACTAGTAAGTAATAAGAACTCTAGAAGTTGAGTTCTCACAAGACAGTTTTTAAAAAAGGACATAAAAAATTGCTTATCAGTCTACTGTACAGTACATTTCCACCCTCTGCAGCAAAGTAAGAACTAAAACAAAAAAACCTAAACAAACAAAAAGAAAGGACATTCATTTCCTTCATTTTCTTAAACATCATCAAGAAAGTTCCCAGCTTAGGAACATGAGAGGAAGAGATCAATGAAACTACGGACTTTAGAGTAGCCAAGGAAGAGCTGCACCTCCAACCCTGATGAATATGGTGGTCTTTTAGGCTACAAATGTAGGTAGCCTGCCCACAGGCTTGATGCCCAAACCTACCATCTTCTGCTTTACAGGCAGGAGGAGGCTGAGGAATGCAACTGTCTTTTCAGATTAGTACAAATCCTGCACGAAGCACAGGGAGATAGAAACAATTAAGAGGTTTTTTTCCTACTTACTCCAGCCCATCTATAACATCTTCCTCCTCCTCCACCTCTGAGGATGAGCCAGTTTCCTCCAGATCTCGAGCCATCCCAACTGGCATTTCCTCCAGGAGCTTTCATACAGCCGAGTCTCAGTAGCCTCTGAGACTCCTTCCTGCAGATTCAAGGGATCTTGCAAGAGCAGTTACCTGCAATAAGGAGTAAAAGCATGAATGCATAGCTGAGCAGGACAGTAAGAGAAATGAGGTAACTCCCACCTCCTGTCAATGCATATTTCTCACAGGACTATCAACAAGCTTGTTACAGGCTGTAAGTCACCTCCTAGCCAGGGGAGTGTGGGAAGAAGCATCACCTTTCAGCAGGTTATTCCCCACCTGCCCATGAGAGTCGTTCAGCCGCTCACCTCTGAAGCGCGTCCCTGTCCCGCCCTGCCCTGCCTCCGGCCGCAGAATGGCACCAGGCTGGCCAGGCCCAGCCCAGCGGGAAACGCCTGCTTCTCCCCGGCGCCGAGACTCCCCCGCCGCCCGGGGTCAGGCGGACACTGTAACGCCTCCACCAGCCCAGGAACAGCCCTCC